GGACTATTCTCAGCTCTACTTTGATATTGAAGGTCTGTAACAATCATAATGGCTTCAGGATGAAGCAGTTTCCATACTGCTACCTCACATTTCCTTATCGTTCAATAGAGCCACAGGACTGTAACATGTATTCCTTTTATCTTGGACTTCCCCTGCCCACCCCTGCCCCATGTATTTATCAGCTGACCTACTGACCAAGTACCATGATATCCAGTAAAAGACAGATCTTTCATAGGTGCTGCCATCACCACCATCTACCTCCAGAACTCTCTTCATTTCATAAAACTGAAACTCTATACCTATTAAACAACTCTCCATTCTTCCCTCCCCAAGCCCCGGCAACCACCAATCTGTTTCTGTCTCTATGATTTTAACTAAGTATTGGTTTGTTGGAAAAGTCATGATGTATTTTTTCTATGGTTTTCGTTGCAAAAATGCATCATGACTTTTCTGACAACCCAATATTTCATATAAACGGAATCACAAAGTAATAGAGTTCCTGGACCCAAATCCAACGTGGGGAGGGGGTCCCCCTTACCAACAAGTAATTCTCAGACACCCGCAGGGTATCAAAGATTTCAACTCAATTCTGACACTACCTGGGGATAGCGTCAGATTCCACAGGTTAAAGGGTCAATTCTACAAGACACTCCCCTTCCCTCCAACACACACACTTCAAAGGACAGATGCAAAACCAGGTTACCTGTGCTTCAGACCAACTGGCTACAAACTGGACATTCCAACAACCCCTCCTTGGGTTCAATTAATTTGCTAGAATGGTTCACAGAACTCAGCAAAACCCGTTTACTCACTAGATTACTGATTTAATTACAAAAGATATTAAAGGATACAAATGAACAGCCAGATGAAGAGATACGTAGGGCAAGGTCCCAAACAAAGGAGCTTCTGTCTTCATGGGGCTTGGGTCCTGGCACAGTGGCACATGGAAACGTTCTGGCTCCCCAACATGGAAGCTCTCCCAACACCCTCCTTTTGGGTTTTTATGGGGCTTCATTACATAGGCATGATTGATTAAATCATTGGCCATTGGTGATTGAACTCAATCTCCAGCCCTTCTCCCGTCCCTGGAAGTCAGAGGTGGAACTGGATGTTCCAACCCTCTAATCCAGCGGTTCTCAACCTGTGGGTCGCAACCCCTTTGGGGGTCAAACGACCCTTTCACAGGGGTCACCTAAGACCATTGGAAAACAAAAAGATATTTACATTACGATTCATAACGGTAGCAAAATTACAGTTATAGAGTAGCAACGAAAATAATTTTATGGTTGGGGGTCACCACAACATGAGGAACTGTTTTAAGGGGTCGCAGCATTGGGAAGGTTGAGAACCACTGCTCTAATCACTTAGTGGCTCCACTGCAGCTAGTCCCCAACGTTAGGTGTGTTACAAAACCTACTCATTAACATAACAAAAGACACCTTTATCACACTCAACACTTGGGAAATTCCAAGGGCTTCTGGAGCTGTGAGGAAGGAATTGAGGACTAAGAAAAATATACAGAGTGCATAAAAAATGCATACACATTTTAAGAAAGGAAAACTGTATTAAAATTGTAACTCAATATATACAAATAACAAAAGATGAGGGCCAGCTGGGTGGCGCAGTTGTAGAGCATGAGCTCTGAGCACAGGGTCACTGGTTCAATTCCCACATGGGCCAGTGAGTTGTGCCCGAGCTGAGCTGCCGTTGAGCTGCCAATGGGCAGCCAGATGGCTCAGCTGGTAAGAGCCCATGCTCCTAACAACAAGGTTATTGGTTCAACTCCTGCATGGGATGGAGGGCTGTGCCACCCACCTCACACCCACCCCTGCGACTAGATTGAACAGCTGAGCTTGCACCCCCCCACAACTAAGATTAAAGGACAACTTGACTTGGAGCTGATGGGTCCTGGAAAAACACAATGTTCCCCTTCCCCAATTTCCCAACACTGTTCCCTTCTCCAATTCCCCAATAAAATCTTAAAAAAAAAAAAAAGGATGAATACAAGTCACATTCGACTTCTGCAATTACAAGAAGTGCTCAAAGTGGTTACCATCAGTGTCCAGGCACTTCTGATTACAGCGAACTACTGCTTGAGCAATGTTGACAAAGTGTCCACTTGTATACATTGGCACCCCTGGTATGTATGTGTGTGTTTACATATATATACACACAAACACATATATACATATACATATATATGTGTATGTATATATGTGTATATACATACCATATTTCCCCATGTATAAGACGCTCCCATGTATAAGATGCACCTTAATTTTGGGGCCTGAAATTTGAAAAAAATGTATTACATAAAGTTATTGAACTCAAGTTTTAATCATCATAAAATTCATACAACTCCTCATCACTGTCAAAACTCCTAACCATTAGCTTGTCCTCATCTGTGTCTGATGACGAATCACCCAATTGCCCTTTGCTCTTCAATCCATATCTTCAATTCCCTCTCTAAATCTGACCATTTTGCTGACTTGCCTCTCATGGCCTTCTTCTGCAGTGGTGTTTTCAGTAGGATTTCTTCTTCCCGAAGCCAGTCTCGGATTGTTTTCTCAGTTGGAGGAGGACCAAACTTACATTCAGCAGCACGATTTTCATTCACTTTTGCAAACTGGATCACTTTTAACTTGAATTCAGCACCGTACAAAAATCTTTTCTGAGCCATTTCTGGGCAGAACGTGGCAAAATGTAACCTACCGTAATGGACTGAAGAGCAAAGGGCAATTGGGTGATTTGTCATCAGACACAGATGAGGACAAGCTAATGGTTAGGAGTTTTGACAGTGATGAGGAGTTGTATGAATTTTATGATGATTAAAACTTGAGTTCAATAACTTTATGTAATAAAGTTAAAGTTACTGCAATACACCGGTAACAAGTGCGAAACAATGAGCGCAAAGACAAGTGCGAAAAAGTGGGAAATGCAAGTAAAAAAATCTACAACAAGCGAAAAACAAGCGCAAGAAAAGCAGGAAATGCAAGTAAAAAAGACTACAACCACTGTATAAGACGCACCCAGTTTTTAGACTCCAAATTTTTCAAAAAAGGGTGCATCTTATACATAGGGAAATATGGTATATGCCACAATTTGTTTATCCATTCATCTGTTGAACACTTAGGTTACTTCCACATTTTGGCTATTGTGAATAGTGCTGCTATGAACATGGGTGTACAAATATCTTTTGAAGGCCCTGTTTTCAATTCTTTTAGGTATATACCCAAAAGTGGAATTGCAGGAGCATATATGGTAATTCTATTTTTAATTTTTGGAGTAACTGCCATACTGTTTTCTACAGCAGCTGCACTATTTTACATTCCCACTAACAGTGCACAAGTGTTCCATTTTCTCCACAATCTCACCAACACTTGTTATTTTCTGTTTTGTTTTGTTTTTTTAATATAGTTGCCATCTAATGGGTTCGAGGTGGTCACTTATTTACTTTTATATCCTTTTTATAGATGACAGAACTGAAGCACTGAAAAGTTAAACAAAGGCTTACAAATTATTAAAAGTCAGAGCTGAGATTTGAACTCAAAGTGACCCACTATTAACCGATACGTTAAAATTCTTGTGAGTCAGGAGTTCCAAAAACTCTCAAGAAGAAGAAAAAGGGGTTCAAGGGCTAACACCCACCAAGTAAAGGGCAAAATGATTATCAGCAAGTTAAATTTATCTTTCTCCTGATAATGTTCTTTCAACCCTGAGAGGCTGAACTTGCCAGGAAACTGCAAAATGTTGTTCTGGCAGTAGAACTCTTAGTTTTCCCATTCACCTTAAATGAACTTTGTTCAGAATGTTCATGTGGGACTTAGGCTGGAGCTTTTTTATGTCCTAGCTTCTGTGTCGTCTAGTCAGGCAATCTAAAACCAAAAAGTTCTCCTATACATCTCTTTCATCTTTTTAGTCAGGCCAGGACTCAAAAAGGCCTCAACTAAAAAAGAATCCTGACCAACTACCAAAAGGCTCATGTGTTACACTTTGTATCTAGATTAAAGGAGTCAGCAAGAGCTGGTCTGAGAGAAATTCCTTCCTCCAAAGCAGAGATGATGTGTAAGGTTTAAGAACCTAAGGCTTAGTATCTGGCAGACCTTTAGTCCTTTGAAACTCTGCTGGCTGCTTGACAGAATAAGTAACATTTCTGAGTCTCATATACAAATCAGGGATGACAGGCCTGGGGCTGATGCACGGGAAGCACCTGGCACTCAGACGGTATTCAATAAATGCTTGGTAGTGTTATTACTTCAGTCACAGATCCATGCACAACAAAATAGTGCATCATAAACATTTACTGTTGAGCAAACATCGATTATTAAGAACATATGTTCAAATTCTAACAAAGATGCAAAATGGATTAACGACCACAGAACAGGTGACACACATCAATATACAGTTAGCTTATATTGTATAAATCTATTGTGCTGGAATCAGGCATCAGGTGAGATATCACTAAGAGGGCCTCAGTGTTTTAAGATGTGGCACATCCATTTCTTAAGTACAGATTATTGAATAGCAGTAAAAACTTCTACATGTTTAGTGCTTTTCTTATGTATAATTATGTAAACTATAAAAGAAAAATATCCCCGAGATAGTTGTTACAGCTTGACAGAGAGTCCAGCCTGTGAAGACTCACCCTCTAAGTCCCGGCAGCAGCTGGGCCTCAATCCCAGCCTAAGTGGATTCACATCGTCGCAGGATCCGCCGGGCTGGAGGCTTTTCTCCCTGCAGCGGCTTCCACGAAAGGGCTACGATCGGTGCTAGGGACCCAGCTGGTCTCCACCACGCCCCTGCCTAGCTGAACCTGCAGGATACGTCACTGCGCCCCGCCCCGCTCGGGCCCCGCCCCCTAAATGCGGCCTCCATCTCCCATGTGCCTCTTCGGCTGCCACTCTTCGGAAGGGAAGTGGCGTAGGCTCAAAGTGCGAATCGCCATGGGCAGAGGCCGTTGGGACTGAGTGGGAGGCGGGACTTCCGCTCCCTCGGGTTTACGTCATCTGGAGGCGGAAGCGCAGCGGGGGCGGGAAGGTTGTAGAGCCGCACGTTGGGATCGGCTTGCCGGTGTTTGAGTGGTCGCGCCCCCTTGGAGAACGCGATCCGAACGCGAGGCTGTTCCGGGCGCTCTCGCGTCCCTGGTAAGTAGAACCGCTTGGCGCCGGGGGATGGAGATGTGTGGCTCCGGCGTTGACCTGCTACCGCTGTCTCTGATGCCACTGGGCAGTGGCCTCCCCGCGTCCCTCGCCTCCCAAAGTTTCTCACTCCTCTCTTTCACTTCAGCCGCAGCCCCCGCCCAGTCTGTCTTCTACGCCTGCCTGCAGGTACCCTTATTAGACGCAGCTCCCGCCCTGTCACATCCCTGATGGATGTTCCCTTTTACAAGATGTGGCCCTCTTGTCCTTCCCGTCCTAACCGGGCTTTGCTACCCCTGTGCTTCAGCCACAGGAGACACCTAACCGTGTTTTGTTCAAAACTGACATCTGTTTGCTAGCCCTTGTACATTCCCGGGCTTCCCTGAAGTCATCCCTTATCACGCCAATAGAAGCAGTTCCCCTCTCCTTCCAGAGCTGTGTACGGCTTTTAAAGAGCGCGTTTGTTAAAGTTTTTTAGTGTGCTTGCTTGAATGAGACTATATTTTCCCACCGGATTATATTTTCCTTGAGGGCAGGAGCAGGGTCTTGTTCATTTGGTATCTCCCCTCGTTTTCCTTTTTAGCTTTCAGTGTACACATTTGTTGCTGGGTACGTTTTTTAAGTGAATCGCGAGGCACCATAGATGAGTGATTCTTCTTCCTAACACTGATCGTATTGATGTTATCAATTGGCTCATACATTTGGCAGTATCTGGTCAACACATCCTAATGATAATTAAAGACAGTATGTTAAATGTTGGTATCAACAGCTGCAATAATAAACATTTAACCTCACACTCTAAATACTTGAGGCACTTGCAGAGTTAAAATTTGTGATTTAAGTCTGTGCTTTTCAGATGTATGTTTCTGAAGAGATGAAAAAACTGCAAACGTTTCATTGTAGGGAGGCTAGCCGTTCCTGACAGCTTTTAATTTGTTATTAAAGTATGGTGCATTTTATATGCATGTACACATATTTTTAACAGGTGATTGTAAAGTGCTGACCAATTGCCACTGAACATAGTTGAAACAGAAAATAGGAAGATGGCAGCAAACCCTTCAGGACAAGGTAATGCATGCTGGAATTTATTTTATTACTAGGAACTTTTCCCAACCTCCATATAGTAAACGTATTTTAATAGAAAATTTGGCATAGGGCAGTTACTGTAGCCAGAATAAAAAAATGAATAGCAAAGTAAAACTCCACATTTGAAGCAAGTCCAACCTTGTATCAGATATATAACATCCTCAATAACTGTAGCCCTGTATTTTAATCTGTATTAAGATTATTCACATTTTAACCCTTAGATCCTCCCCTAACATCTGCGTTCTCTTGCTCTTTTACTTGAAATCAGAACCACTTGGAAGTAAATTATAAAGGCTATAACCATACCTTTATCTTCATTTGGTCTGAAAACTTTCATACATATTTCACCTGTGTTAAGAGCTTTCTACAGCAGATCAAGTTAGATGCATCCTAAAGCAGAAGTTTTCATTTAAAAATAAGCTTTTAAAAGTAAAATTTAATCTCTAGAAAGTATTAAATCCCATTTTGTAAGTAGTTTCCTGCTTCAAAACTTGAAGCAAACTTATTTCCTTTCCATATCAAGTCTAAGCTCCTATTTGACCCACCATATTTTTTTTTATTACTCATCTCTGTTCTGATTTGTCTTATCTTAAACGCCATATAAATGGAATTATAAAATGTGCACTTGTTTGTGTCCAGCGTCTTTTAATCACTATACTGTGTGTGAGATTCGTCATGTTGTGCCACGTATGAATAGTTCATCCTTTTTTTTTTTTAAAGATTTTATTGGGTAATTGGGGGAGTGGAACAGCATTGGGGAATTGGGGAAGGGGACAGACAAGTTGCTGTCCTTTTGTTCAGTCTAGTTGTGGTGAACGTCGCTTCACTGGCCCATGTTGGTATTATCATGACGCTCTTCCCGGGTGAGGCAGTCACTCACTCATCAGCTATTGGACAGCAGCTCACGAAAGCCCACGCCCACTGCTGGCCAGCCCCACTGCAGCCTACGCTGTCGCCAGCAACTCACAGCAGCCCAGCTCCAGGTCGAGCTGTTGTTCAGCATCTTAGCTGTAGAGGGCGCAGCATCACTGGCCCTCATGTGGGATCCGAACTGGGGCCCTGCTGCTCAGAGCTGGCGTCCCAAACCAACTCTTAACCAATGCGCCACTCTGCAGGCCCAGCTCATCCCTTTTTATTGTATGAATTTGCCACAGTTTGTTTACTCATTCCCCTGTTTGGAGGCTTTGGGATTGGCTCAGTTTTGGCCATTGTGAATAAAGCTGCTTTGAATGTTTGCATGTAGGTCTTTTTGTAGGTACTTGGATAAATATCTAGGAATGAAGCAGTTGAGTGTATAGTTAACTTTATGAAGAACTGCTGAACCTTTTTGTAAGTGATTGTACCATTTACCATTTACATTCCCTCCAGCAATGTGTACGAATTCTGGTTGCTCCACATTTAGCACTGGCTGTTGGTCTTTTTTATTGTAGTCATTTTAGAGGGTATGAAGTGACATCTCATTGTATTGTAGTATTAACTTGCATTTCGCTGATGACAAATGTTGAGCACTTTTTACTGTACTTATTGGCCATTGTAAATCTTCCTTTGTGAAGCGTTTGTTCAAGCCTTTTGCTCATTTTTTTTAATTGGTTTATTTTTATTAAGTTTTTTTTTAGAGTCAGGATACAGGTCCTTTGTCACTGGTATTATAATTCCAACATCTGGATCATCTTGGAGTTGATTTCTGATGACTGTATTATTATTATTATTTTAGTATGGGTCACATTTTCCTTTTTCTTACTAAGTGATTTGTTATTGGATACTGGATATTCTGACTAATACATTGTCTGGATTCTGTTGTATTCCTCCGAAATGTGATGTTTGTTCTAGCAGACAGCTTTGCTCAACACATGTTTGGGACTCTTGTCTCCCTTGTTGGGCAGCAGCTGAAACCTCTGCCCATTCTTTGCAGCTTCCAGCTGCTGCTTTATTGCGGGGCTCCCTGCGGTCTCCCCATGATGTGTACTTTAGCAGGAAGTGAAAACTTGGGGTAGATTTTATAAACATGTTTTAGGCTTTCTTCCTGCCTTTCCCTCTCAGGTTTCTTCCATAATTTTTTGAGTACTCTACCAGTCCTGAACTCTATCCTATGATACTTCAAGCCAGTAAGGTGAGGCTATTCATGCTCTTTGTGGATTGAGGAGAGTGTCAGGCAAAAGGCCACAAATTCCCAAATCTCACCAGTTGCAGTGTGTACCTGATTTTGGTCGGTCTGTAATACCTTCAAATAGTGAATGTTTAATGTTCTGTCCAGAATTTATGGTTACATTTGCGGCAGAGTTAGTCTAACCGAACTACTCTGCCAGTACTGGAAGTTGGCTGAATCTATTTTAGTATACTAGTTGCATTTAGGACAAACCAAAGGTTACGTGAGTTTTCTAGAAGGTAGTATTGTAAAAAGCTAGCTGTGGTGACAGCTTTACCAGCTGTAACCAGCCAATACTGTTCTGTTCACCTCTCAAATAACCATGTGCGATTTGTGTGCTCTATGCACCTCACAGGTCAGCATTCCCCAACGGCCTTTGACATCTTTTCCAAGTTACAAGGATTCAGATTTAAAATAATTTAAATTGAAACTTAAAAATTGAAAACTAAGAGAAATCTGTTTTGGAAAGAAAATATGCTGCTAAGCCACACATGCACAGTCCAGTTGAAAATGAAATTTTAAATTATCCCTCTGTTCTAATAACACAAATAATTGAGATTTACAATTTGCTGGGGGTTTTTTTTGTTTTTGTTTTTTTAGTAGTTGCAATGAAACGCAATCATTTTTAGTGTTGCCTTTGATTGATCCGTAGTAAAATACACGACGAAACACAGTCAAAGCCACTTTGGCTTTTGTTACTCTTTTGTCAGCGATTTTGTTGGTGTCGTGGAGCTGCTGCTGTTGACCACCAGCAGAGGGAGCCCATATCATGTTCTATAGACTCCCAGACTCAATGAAAATTTTAAATTCTTATTTATTTGGATCTATTGCATTTGACTCTGTGTATTAAATTATTTCTGTACTGTTTATGTGTATAGGGACTAGTTATTATGGAGATTGAATGTCAAGTGCCATAATTATAACGATAACTGAAAGAACAATGACTTTAAGAAAAATCTTGATCTGTGCATTGTAATTCATTAATGTCTCTGATGTAGGGGACAGAATCCCATTGTGTTCCCTAATCCCTCTTTCAGGTCTAGCAGTCTATCATGCTGTAGCAGTAATCAGGACTGCTAAATTTCATAAGCTCTTGGCAGACAGTTATTGACGTCTCATTCTTAGCATTCACCATAGCGTGGAACATGTATTATTTGATTGATTAGAAGTAACATTTTGAGAATTGTAGTATGTAAAGGCAGACTGTTAAACTGGAATTTGTCCAGGGTCCCATTCCTATGTAAAGAATCTTTCATTATTGGTAATATCAAAGACCTGTGATAATGTGGTGGTAGTTGGATTGGTCTAACCTGATTTCAGATATACAGAGAAACCTGGTGAAATACTGAGTAAGGAATGTGAATTCTTTTCTTTATTTTATAGTTACCTCAAAATGCTTATAGTAATAACTATAAGCCCTGAAGATCAAGTGGTGGGAACTATTGATTTGGGGCTACTCTGGATGCTCTTAGCTGTGATTTCAGGGTGCTGTGTAGGAATGGGGTGGCATAGCGCTTGGGAGGTTGTCTTGCTTGACCTCAGACCCAAGTAGAAGTCTTACCTATACTATCCATGGTCCAGAAGGAAAGCAAATTTACCCTTCAGGCTTATACTAAGGTCCCAGTGATGTATAACTTGCTATTTCAGTTTGGCTTAGCTACAGTTCCCTGTATCTACCCCTTCTTCCTGTACCCAAACCAAAAGTACACAGCTATACTTTATAAACAGACATATACTTAATAGGAGAAACAAAACACCTAAATGTTAACACCAGCCTAATAACTTATTTTCACCCTTTTTTACAGCTGTCTTTTTATTTCTTTAACTTTCCTTTTTGTATCTTATGAATTCATGGCTTATCATAGACTTTGTTCCATTTAGCTATAATTATTATTCTCTTTAATGTTCCAACTGTGACAGCCTGGGTAACCTCAAACTGGCTCCTTTGTTCGTTGAGCACTATCCTGGGCCTTTAAAATAAGTAAATCTTTGTGCTTTCTGACAACAAGGTATTCCTGGCCTGTCTTGATTATTTTCCTGCCCCAAGACATGGAACTAGTCTTCTCCTAGAAGTCTGGTTCCTCTTACAGGAGGATAGCACCTAAGACCAAAATTTGTTTCACATGGAGTTGATGATGAGGTGGAATGCATTGTTGCTTGCTATTGTAGTGACAGAACAGGGAAATATGTTTCTTTTAAGAGCATATGTTAATAATTGTTTAACTTGAACATTACTACATCTTTTTACATTTAGCATGTTTATGCATTATAAAGTTTCATTGACCACTGTCTTTTACATTAACATGTATTTTCTACATGAAGCTCCCTCTGCCAGGAATGACTCCACCCACTCCTTTTGACTATTTGGCAAATTTAGTAAAAAGAGGAGGGGATAGAATAATTTTGTATCACTTATTTCCACATTCCCATGCTACCTCACTCCCATGTGCTTTGGAAACAAAAATAATTTCATGAGATTATAATTTTTAATATTACTGATCAGATTGTGGATCTTTAAAAGTAATTTAAGTTTATATACATTGGAAAAGCTCAGTCGTGCTTGTATTTATATGAACATTACTCATCAAATTATCTTTATGTAGCTTTTTTAATGCTTTACCCATTGTTCACTATGTGCATACAATTTCTATGTATATACAATTACTTTAATGATAGTGATCCTAAAATATTTTTTGTAAACAAATTAATCTTGAAGGAAATTGATATTTCTGTAAACGTCACTTCAGTACTTTACAATGTGGTGACTTACTTTGCTCATCACATAATTTAGATACAATCAGATTTTTAAATTTGCTTTTTAAAATTTTTCTAAAGTAGAGAAGTTTTGCCTATAGTTGAAAATGTAGCTGATGGTATAACTTGCCTTAAACATATGCAACTTCATACATACAACTGGGAGAGTCCCAATTTCCCTTGGAAAGCATTCTTCACTTGACAAAGATCTCACGTTTTGATTCCTTTATTTATTATTTTTTATTATTATTATTTTTAATTGGGGAATTGGGGGGATGGGAACAGACAAGTTGCTGTTGTTTTTTTGTTCTTCAGTCTAGTTGTGGAGGACGTTGCTTCACTGGCCCAAGTTGGCACCATCATTGCGCTCTTCCCGGACGAGGCAGATCAGTCGCTGACTTCTGGACCGCCGCTCACTGGTCGATCACGCTTGGCTGCTGGCTACACATGGTAGCCCATGGCAACCCACTGCAGCAGGGGCTGCAGCCTACCTGTCACCGGCGACTCATGGCAGCCCAGCTCCAGGTTGAGCTGTTGTTCAGCATCTTAGCTGCAGAGGGCAGTGTCACTGGACCTCAAGGATTCCTTTAAATAACATATTCTAGTATATACTTATCCTTCCATAATTATCTTACCTTAATTTGTATTAAATCACTTTTAGGAAAGTTTCTATTGTATAAAATCGGTAATACCCCATTCTATACTTCCTATCCTATCTAATCCATTGTTGGATGATTTATATTGATTGGTTTGTTTAGTTGGATAAAAGGGCAACTGTGAGATAGTAAATAGACTGAGAATAACATAACCTTCCTTAGTGAGCTAAGAACATTGACAGTCAAAGAGACTATATTAATTTAGAAATTATATATTAATTTAGAGCCTATGGTTACTAATTTTCACACTTAATTTCCACAGTAACAGGGAGTTAACTATAGCTGCCTGTGCTCTGACTGTCAAACATGCATGAATTTTTTTGAAAAAGGCTGTTCCCTCTTGACCAAGCCAAGAAAGACATATACGTATGATTTAAAAAAAAAAAAAAAAAGTCGGTGAATCATGAAATTGTTGTTTCTGTAGGCAGAAACTCAAACATAGGCAACTTAATAATAACATATAACAGATCTCATAGTGGCTATTATGTTTACATAACAGTCCTAATTGTATAGATATGAGTTGATATTTATGGTTTGTGATGGTCATCCTTATTAGAGATTGGTCTCTAAATTTTATAAGGCATTATTTAATTGTTGAAAACCCTTTTTTATTGCCTTTATTTGTATAGCACCTAATTTTTAAGCCCCCCTTGGCAGATTGCCTTGATAAAAATAGAAAAGAAATTGTTCATCAGTTGCTTTAATAGTTGAAGTAAAGGTCTAACGTTAAGCTGTGGTTTGCAAACTACAGTTGTTCCCCCTTATTCATTGGCAGTACGTTCCAAGACCCTCTGGATGCCTGAAACCACAGATAGTAACAAACCCTATGTATAGTATGTTTTTTCTATACATACATAATACCTATGATAAAGTTTAATATATAAATTAGCCATAGTAATGGGCCGGCTGAGTGGCACATTGATTAAGAACTGGCTTGGGATGCCAGAGGGCCCTGGTTCAGATCCCACATATGAGGGCCAGTGACACTGCCTCTGCAGCTAAGATGCTGAACAACAGCTCAACCTGGAGCTGGGCTGCTGTGGGTTGCCGGCGACGGCGTAAGCTGCAGCCCCTGTGGCAGTGGGTTGCCATAAGCTACCATGTGTAGCCGGCAGCCAGCGTGAGCGGCCAGCAGCCGCCTGAGCAGCCGACCAGAGGCCAGCGACTGATCTGCCTCGTCTGGAAAGAGCGCAATGATGGTGCCAACTTGGGCCAGTGAAGCAACATCCTCCACAACTAGACTGAAGAACAAAACAACAGCAACTTGTCTGTTCCCCTTCCCCCGATTCCCCAATAAAAATCTTAAATGTGGTCTCTCTCAGAATGTCTTATTGTACTGTGTGTATAGCATGGATATGCTGGACAAAGAGATGATTCATGTCCCAGGTGGGATGGAGCAGGACATGCGGGATTTGATTTAGCTGAATATGCTGCAAACCTCATTGTGTATATGCGTATTTTGTATGTGTTTACATGTTGGTATTTAATTCAAAATTTTAAAACATAATTGGATGCTGCTCCTGGGCCAAGACTTTGCAACCTCTACATTTTTTGTAAGGTTGGAGCTCAAAATCAAGCCCAATATTCAGTATTTGACAAAGAACATATCTTTTTGTGCCCTGTCAGTTGTTCTCCATTTGTTTCTCAGAATTGCTTTCTAGTCAGTTGCAATTCTTTTACTTGTTCCTTGAAAAACTCTGTGTCATTTCTGAGTGAAAGCAGTTGAGAAAAAGAAATATTGTTTTCATATGAGTATGTCTAATGCCCTTTCCCTCCACGAAAGAGGCTTTCACAGAGAGGCCTGAAACTGAGAACTAAGAAAATCTCCACTCCCAGAGATTGACTGAGCAGGATCGAGATTGATTGCTGCAGTAGTTGGGGACGCAGAGATTTTGTTAAAAATCAAATGCTGTTACCCAAACCTCAGTAATTAGAACTCTTTAGAACTGAATCTTAAAAGTCCTCAATCAGTATTATACTTTGCAAATATCCATGTATTATGCTGTTAAAATTGTTGGGAAATAGGCAATAGAGAAACTAACCACTTAAGGAAACCACTTACTAGTGAGTTCATTATGTTAGAGAATTTTGCTGTCTGGGTTTCTAGATGGCCTAGGTTTATGAAATAGCTCTAAAATGTTTTTTATTTCTTTATCTCTTTCTCTTCTCCCCACCCCCTGCTCTTTTTTAGGTTTTCAAAACAAAAATAGAGTTGCAATCTTGGCAGAACTGGACAAAGAGAAAAGAAAATTACTAATGCAGAATCAATCTTCAACAAATCATCCTGGCGCTAGGTAGGTATTGAAGAATAATGCATTTTTTTAATTAAATTATTTTTTATTATGAAATACACATTTTTTAGAATTAGTTTCAGCTGTACAACACAGTGCAATAGTTATAGTTTTTACCCCTTGAAAATAATGTATGTTTTTATATTCAGTGATATAAACAATATCTTGGACAAAATAACTCACATTGGTTGGCAGTGGTTTGTTTCTTTAACATTGGGATTTACATGTTCTGTTTCCTAGTTAGACTTGAAAATATTAGACTACTGATCTTTTAAAAATTGATTAGATTTAATATTTTAATTCTAATTAGAATATTTAATTTTCCCTACAGGCCTACTTTTTAAAAAAGAAGTCTTTTGTATGGTTTTTGTTTGTTATTCAAATTATTTCCAATGTCCCACTTTTTAAACTTTCTGCAAAGTAGTTAAATTTAAGTAGCTTAATGATCTTTATCGTACAGTATTCAGTTTCTGCCATCTTCAGTCTCTCCCCTCACATCCATTCTCCCTTTCAGCCATCACCCTACCTTTCCTGTCTTTTCCAGCCAGACCTCTTAAGAGTTGTCTTATACCCACCTCTACTTTCTCACTGATTTACTCAGCCCACTGCAGTCTGACTATCTGGCAACACTCTCCCTTGTAGAGTAAGTTTGAGCCTAGGTCACTTGCCACCTCCTTGTGGCTAACTCTGGTAGACCAAAGTCCTTTTCTTGTCGGACACTTTAGCATTATTTGACAGCACTGAGCATTCTCTCCTTAAAATACTCGTTCCTTGGCTTCCATTCACTCACTGTTACACTGTCTTGATTTCTTTTGCAGACATTTCTCCACTGCCTGTCTCTCGGATGTTGATGCCCCTCAGAGTTATGTTCTAGACCCAGTTTCCCAGTCCACATTTTTTCACTGGACAGTTGCATCCACTTTCACAACCTTCTCCTTGTGTGCCGATAACTCTTACACGTTTGCATGTCTAGCCTGGTCCTCTCTCCCAAGCACGTCTCCACTTCACGTCCTACGGGTGTTTCAAACTTAGTATGCCCCAAACTGAACTCATCTTTCCTTCCCTCTAACTAACCACTTCATATTCTTGTGTTTCTTGTCTCAGTGAGTGGTACAGATTAGTAGTTATCAAAGTCAGAAATGTGAACTTTGTTTTCCCTTTCACTTAACATCTCCAAGCATTTACCACTCTCTGTTTATACTCTAAAATGTGTCTCAAATCTGTCCATTCTTCTTCATTGCCACTGGTGCTGCCCTGGTCCCGGCCACTGTCATTTCTTGCCTCCATTACTGTACCTGCTGCCTCACTGTATTTCCTATAGTCTTCAGTCCTCTCGAGTACATTTATCAGTTGTGTCAGTTGGAATGTTTTAATCGGGAAGTAACAAAAAACCAGCACAGTTGACATAAACATCAGGATATATGTTAGCCAGGAATGTGAAGATAAGGTGGTTCCAGAGCAGCTTAATGCAGCGGCGCGACAGTATCAGCAGTGAACCATTCCTCATCTTGCCTTTCTGCCTTTCTCCATGGGTCTGCAGCTTCCTAATGGTCAAAATATGACTGCAGTAGCCTTGGCCTCACCTCTGCACTGAGCCACCTGTAGAGGCAAAAGCCAGAAAATCCTTTCCCTTTTGTAAGAGTGAGGAAGGTATTCTCAGATGCCCTCCAGTAGACTAGCTATTACCGTATTTTGCCGTGTATAATACGCATCCACGTTTTTGGCCCAAACTTTCAGGGAAAGAAGTCTTTTGTTTGGACATCTTAATTCAAATTTTTGTTTATCTTCAGGGTACTTGTTTTTATTGTAAAGGAATTTTAGCATTTATTTTTTAATATATGGTACAAAAAATTTTATGTAACAAATAATTACAAAACATAAGAACAGATACAAAGTACAAGAAATTTTGTGTACTGGTAACAAATTTATGATATTTATGCATCATAGAAGGCCAAGAACTCTGTTTTTGCAAGTTTGTTGTAAGTTCAACAAAACTGATTCTTGTATTCCAGGGTATTATTTTGCATATGGATTTCGTTACTGAGTTCTAGAGTTACACTTTTAACTCATAAGCATAAATAAAAGAATTAAAAACATTTATATAGATACGTAATTAGTATTACCATGTATAATGCGCATCCTTATTTTTCCCTCACAAATCTGAGCAAAAAAAGTACATATTATACATGCCAAAATACGGTAAGTCTAGTCGCTGAGAATCTGGTAACTTTCTCTTGCTTAAACCAGAAACCAGCAAGGGGAATGACATTGTCTTTGGGGTAAGACAGTGCCATTTGGGGCATGAGCTTGGCCTGCCCTGAAGCATGGAGCCACTGATAGTTGAGCTGAGTTTGGGCTCCATTAGCAAGGAAGAAGGGCGATAAACCTCGTTGAGGAGGTGACTAGCACTGTCCTCCATCGTGGTAGTCTTTCTGAACCGTCTCGTGGTACTTCTCATCATGTCACTGCTCTGCTCATAGCAGTCTCTTTTACTGCCAGGATAAGGTCTGCATTTCTTAATTTATTTTACAAGGTGCTACATGTCCTGGCACCTGCCTTCCTCCCCAGCCTCATTTTTTGCCAACTCACTTCACCCCTCCCCCACCCGGACCTCCAGTCCTGTTGAACTCTCATTTCTTCAAACATGTCAAGCTCTTTTGCCCCGGGTCTTTTCACATGCTATCCTTTCTGCTTGAAACATTCAAGTCTTCAGTTTTCATCATAAATATAACTTTATGATAGACTGAAGTACTTCATATCTGTTTGAAAGTAGGAGACCATAAATCATCAATAAAAAGGAAGTAATTTGAAGCCCTAATAAATAACATAGGCTTTCTTTATTTACCTTCATGTAGACACTGAGAAAAGGAAAAAAGACAGAAGGTCTTTTTTAAATCCCTGTAAAGAATATATAATGAAAACTGTGATTCAGAAGTAAGTAAGTCTATACCTTAAACAGCAAGGTAACTAAGATTTCCGTTTTAGCATTGCACTTTCGAGACCCTCCCTTAATAAGGACTTCCGGGACCATGCTGAGCAGCAGCATATTGCAGCCCAACAGAAGGCAGCTTTGCAGGTGAGCAAAGTGTAACTGACATTCTTGTCTCATTGGAGATTTCCTGGGTCTTGGAAGCTAGCACAGTTTCTATTTTGTATTTCAGTGGAGCAATATCAATAAAAACGTTCCACACATAATTGCAGTGGTTTGCTGATGTTCAATCGTGCCCAAAGGATTTGAAGGACCAATACAGCAGTTATGAAAGTATCTTTTATGGTGTTGACACAGTCATGATTGATTCTCTGCTGTACCTGGCAAGGGATTGCTTATGCACAAAAGAGTTTAGGATGTTTGGATGGACAGAATGATCTTAAAAGCTGAACTGGCTAGGGCCGGCCAAGTGGCACGTTGGTTAAGAGTTGGCTTGGGACACCAGCTCTGAGCAGCAGGGCCCTGGTTCGGATCCCACATTAGGGCCAGTGACACTGCGCCCTCTACTGCTAAGATGGTGAACAACAGCTCAACCTGGAGCTGGGCTGCCGTGAATCGCTGGCGACGGCGTAGGCTGCAGTGGGGCTGGCCTGCAGCTGGCGTGCGCTTTCGTGAGCCGCAGTGAGCGGCCATCCAATGGCCAGCGAGCGACTGCCTCACCGGGAAGAGCGCAACGATAATACCAACATGGGCCAGTGAAGTGACGTCCTCTACAACTAGACTGAAGAACAAAAGGACAGCAACTTGTCAGTTCCCCTTCCCCGATTCCCCAATAAAATCTTTAAAAATAAAATAAAATAAAAGCTGAACTGGCAAGTTTATTAGTACATACATATTTTTCCAATTTGTCATGCCGTTATATCCTTTGATTGTCTCGTCTTACCGGTTTATTGTTGTTATATGGATTCTTTTTTTTACCGGTTAGCATGTCTATAGTTCAGGAAATGTTTAAAAACTCTTATCATAGGTATGTGATAATACATAAGTTTAAAAAAATATTTTCTTCATGGTAATAAACAATTTTATTATTACACTATTCCTAGATAATTTAAGCTTCCCAGAGACTTTGGACAAAACATCGTTGCCTATGCTTTTAAACCTTAAAATGTCAGAATTGGAAGAGACACTTTAGACAGCCTAAAAAACTCCTTTTTTTAGTGACACAAGGAAGTCACTGGTGGTTTTCTGTTCTTTACATTTTCCAACATTCTCTACAAAATGTTGGCATCTCAGTCACCAGTAATCAGCTGCCTTCCCCATCTCCTTCCAACCACTGCCCTTTGTAGATCACAAGCAGAGTATTTGGGGTCCTTTGTTGCTAGTTTTTCCCCACTTCAGGGAACAAAGTACATAATTCGTGTTTTTGATTTATTTATTGACTGTAGGGAATCATTGGGAAGAGAGTGGAGGTGATAGATGGGTACCTGGTGTAACTCACTAATGTGAATTCTTTATCATTGTCTATCTCTCGTGTATTTAAACAAAATTAGCAGCACAAGAACTGATTTTTAAAATAAATTTGTTCTCCAGCACTCAGAAAGGATAACTAATCTTAATGCCTTGGTTGAATAATTTTGACTCTTAATAGCTTAATTGCCTTTTTTTTTTTTAAACTCTTTCCCAGCATGCACATGCGCATTCGTCCGGATACTTCATAACTCAAGACTCTGCCTTTGGGAATCTTATTCTTCCTGTTTTACCTCGCCTTGACCCAGAGTGAAGAAAATACTTGTAACGAAAGTGACTTTGTAATAGCAGATGCCAAAGCTACTATCATTTAGTGCTATATAAGCTGTGACTTTCAGAATTTCGGTGAACTTTTATATTTGCTTTTTTATAAGAAAGGCTTGTGTAAAGGAAAGCAAAAAAAGGAGGATAACCAGGATGATGAGAGTTTTGAAAGCTGTATTATCTGAGGACTTGATGATGCGACCTGTGACTGTAACTTATTTGTAATGCAGTTTGGTTTTAATGCTACATCATACTCTGAATTGATGGTAACATAATCTCAGCCCCCAGCCCCCAACTAGTTGGACTGAATACATCATGTCCACAATAGACTTTTAAGAACCATTTATAGTACTTAACTTTAAATAACAAGGGTGCTTTTTAAAAATGTAAACCAAAAGGCTTAAATAAGTTACATTCATATTGCTGTTTATAGAATTGGTATCAGTGTATTTTTTGAGTTTATAGTCACTATATCAACCTGAAATATTCTCTAACTCCTAACTAGTTTGCCTATTCTCAATTTTCAAAGAAAACCCAAGGTAAGACTAAGTTCCCAACCAGTCTTAATATGCCACTATAAATTATGTGACTAAATGCTATTAAAAACAATTATAATAAATGTGGTTTTAAATTTTGTACATGCTTTTATTTAGTGTTACAACATAAGTGGTGTGCCTGTGTCGTTTATTGTTCATTTTTGTTCCAATTAAAAATGTATGCAAGTTGAGCCCCTTTTTAATTACTTTAAGGAGGAAGGAGTTAGATTAAGCAGTTTCTCAACATGACACATCTTTAACAGAATCTGGGGTGCTTCTTTAAATATGCAGTCCTTACTACCTTACCTTAGTCCTACAGAATTAGAATCTATAATTCAAAATAAAGTCTGATAACCATGGGTTAGAGAATGCAGTTTTTATGATATGTGTTTATAAATTCATAGATTTGTAGGTCCCTGAAACTTAGAGGTCATTAAGCTAAAATCTACATTGAAACTTAGAGGTCATTTAGCTAAAATCTACATGATTTTACTTTTAATAAGATTGAAATGATACCTTATACTATATCACAGATATAGTATTTTATATAACTGCTTATAAGTGATCTCATCTTGGCCTTGAGTCCTCATCCTCTCCAGTGATAGGATTAAATTTAACCTTAAAATTCCAGTTTGGGTCAATATTTATTCAAATTCACCTCCCTTTTCAAAAACTTTCTTCTCGCTGCTTGCCCAAATATTTGCACCAAACACACAGCCCCATCTTACTCGAATTGAGGCAGGTGTGGACAATTCTAGACTTGGCTGTGCCGTTTAAATCTTTCTCTTGAGATTTTGAACTGTTTTCTTCAGTTGGGTGAGTTGGCAGCTGTCCCCATTGTAATGGTCACCATTAACAGCAAAGGTGTCCTTACTCCTGCTGCCGAGCATCTCCCCAGGGGCCTCTGGCTCCTGTCCTGCCTCAGGTCTATCCAGCTCATCCGTGGGCCTCCTTCCAGTGGCCCGCATTTTCTTGAATGAATTTGACTAAGTTTGCACTCTTTGTGATCCATAACCTAAATCCATGGTTCTAAATCTATCTACTTGATGCCAGGGAGATAGAAAATATGGAATGTAGTTTTTACGCTAGTAAAGCCTCTACCTAATGTGGGACTTTTATAACCTAGGTTAAAGAGATCTTTTTTCCAGTGGTGTCTTTTGTAGCCTCTTGGCCTTTTAAATAGATGTTGCCTAAATCCTCCAGCCTGGCTAGTAAGAACATCTACCCACCCCTCTCTTTTGACTCGCTTACAAATTCAGTTCAACTCCTTATGTATTTATTAATACCCACTCTGTAAAACACTGTGCTTTAGGGTGGAAAGGTGAGTGATAGCTGCTCTTAGGGAGGTGAAGTGGAGAGGAGCCTACTAGCAGTGATGATAAAGGAAGGCAGAGCGCAGTGAGTGGCATGGCAGAGGCACCCTGGAGCACGGAGCAGTCTAGAAAGGCCTAGAAATATTGATACGATTTCACCTGGCAAGGAAGGGAGGAGCTGCTTCAGGCAGAGGTCGAGGTTTCAGAATCAAGAGAAGGGGACGCTAAGACACTTGTGAGGACTGCTGAGGACAGCAGAAAGGGCAGCAGTGGACTCAGTCAGAAGCCCTGAGGTGAGGTTTCAGTGTTGCTCCCTCAGACTCGGGGTGAACTTGGCTAACTCGCCTAACTGCTCTTTACATGTCAACTCCGTCCCCTCTGTAACAGGAACAGAACACTGCCTAATTCGTCAATTGTCTAGATCAGTATTTTTCAAAGTGCAGGTCTCAACCTGTTACTGAATTGAGAAGCCCACTTAATGGCTTAATGGGGTGTGAGCAGCATTTTTTTTTTTAAGTAAAATAGAAAACATCAGGATGACATAGCGTGTAGTAATAAGGTTTTGTTTCATGGATTTTCTGTTTCTGTGTATGTGTGTTTTACTTACTTTGTTTATTGTATGTTCCACCCGTATGTGAGGTCTCGGAAGGCAGGGATGTTTGTTTCCCTCCTTCCCTTCCTCTGTTTACTACTATATTCCGCTTAGAATAGTATTTGGCATATAACAGACGGTCAGTACCGACCTATTGAATGAATGAACAAATATAGATGACCTGGATCATGATGTAAAGAGTATTGTTTTTTTTACTGTGAGTCATGGCAATAAAGTTTTGAAAGCCACTGCTAAATAATACAGATGATAGTGCTTTGTACGATTCTGGAATAAAAACGGAATTGACACAATAATTTCAAAGGCAGATATTTTTTCCTGAACAATCTATAAGCTGTCTCATTAAGTCGTCTCAGTTCTTTGCTTCACTTTGGGAGTAGGAACTCAGCCTTTATGTGAGTGTAAGACCCACTGAGGCAAGGGTTTTGGCAACTGTGGTTACACAGAACAGACGATCAACAGAGAAAGCGTCAGTCCCTCAGTGCAGCTGAGCCCTGCTGCCATAACCCCACCCGCTAGCACAGGGCGCGTTCCAGCAGCACTAAGCTCAGCCGGTACTTACTGAGTGCTTCTCTTACATCTCTGTGTGCGCAGTGATTTGTACACAATAGACACCAACATTTTTTTATGAGCAAATAAGGCATGAGCGTGGATGGAGGAGGAGGGTTTCACTGTCCTCGAGGATGACAATCTGGAGCAGCCGAGACAAGCACACTGACAGCGAATACTGGGTGCAACTTAGTGAAGACAGAATGAGCGAGCACACGAGCCTGGAAGGACCAGTGAAGGCCACATCAGAGAACAGGCATTTGAACTTGGCTTTCAAGATGAGAGGGTCTCAGCCACGAAAGTTAGGAAAGTGACATTCAAAGCAAAGGAAATCTGCAAGGGCAGGGAGAGCAGGTGTAGGGGCCATTGCGCAGCTACCAGAAGTCCAGTTTGGCCGGACTTGGATAGATTTATGTAGGACGCTCATTAGAAATGAGGCCAAAGGTAGGCTGGACTCATGTTCCAGAGAATCTTGAATTCCAGGGGAGGCAGATGTCTTTAGCTGGCCACTCAGCTGGGAGCTAGTGAACATTTTTGAGCATGGCCAGGTACACAGATGAATCAATTAGGCCCTCAGCTCTTGGGAAAGGGGAACTTTTGAGGCACAAGAAGACCATTACTCCTAACATCTATTGAGAATTCTGGCAGGTATGTTCTGTTTACTTTCACATCTCAACTCCAGCCCCATCTACCTCTGCTATCTCTTTCATTTAGTTCTTGTACCCTAACCCCGATTTTCTCTTTCCTCACCTCCCTCCCTTATCCACCTTTCTTCTCTCCCCAGCTTTCTTCTATAGCTCTACCTCCAAGAACCTTTTAGGAAAGAAAAAGCAAGACATTGTCACACAGTTTTCATTTGATTTTCACAACCGCTTAGTGAGGTGGTGGATATTCTTAGTAACGTGCTCCACATTGATTCTTCCTTTCCCCCTTCCTAACAATACTCGGGTGTTTGTGGGCCACGCTCCTGCCCAGTACAGCCGGTGTGCTGCAGGGGCAGTGGACTGCCCAGCACCAGGTATGGGCCTCACATGCTCCAGCCCCACGTGGGGAATTCCCTTTGCCACAGCCAGTCAGTACACGGTATTTCACAGACCACAGGAATTGGTTTAACATTGTACATGTTACCCAAATTCAACCCAAATGAGACTCTAGGAGAGGACTGCTGGGCTCATGGAAAATACGTTCTCACCTTTCTGAGGATGCTACCAAAAGGGAGTCTTTTTCTCTAGATGTGTAAAAGCAAGTGTATCTATGTACAGATGCTCCCCAACTTACAATGGGGTTACATCCCAATAAATCCATTGTAAGTAGAAAATGCATTTAATACACCTAGCCTACCAAACATCATAGCTTAGCCTAGCCTACCTGAAATGTGCTCAGAACACAATATCCAAAGCGTGCCGGCACAGCATGTAGAGTTTTGGTTCTTTACCCTCGTGATGGCATGGCTGACGGAGCTGTGCTCACTGCCGCTGCCCAGCACTAGGAGAAAGTATCATACTGCATATTGCTAGCCTGGGAAAGATAAGAATTCACAATCGAAGTAGGGTCTCTACTGAGTGCGTGTTGCTTTCGTATCATTGTAAAGTAGAAAAGTTACAGGTTAGACCACCGTTATGTTGGGACTGCCTGTATACATTTTATCCTGAGTGTTGTTGGCAGCCATCATGTGACTGTGAGGTGGGACCAGTCTTAAAATGAAGCTACCCCCGTAAGAAATGCAGGAGAGAAATATCCAGAAACTGGGTCCTTGATGATATCATTGTGCTGCCGAGTCAAACAATCCATAACATGGTACCCTTCCTCTGGAATTTCCAGTTATGGGAAGTACAAGTCCTCATTGTTTAAGCCAGATTAAAGTAGGTTTTCTGTCACTTGCCACCTAAATACCCTAATAAAAGTTTTGTACTCCAAATTTACCCTTTTGCAAGTCAAATTCACCTTTTGCAGATCAAATTTTTCCACAAAAAATGTTTTCTAACCTTTGTAATAAAAATAAATCCAATGTTGGGGCAGCCAGTTAGCTCATGGTTAGGGTGCAGTGATCACAACACAAAGGTTGCTGGTTTGATCCCCACGTGGGCCGCTGAGCTGCGCCCTCCACAACTAGATTGAAACAACTACTCAACTTGGAGCTAATGGGTCCTGGAAAAAAACACGGTTCCCCAATAAAAATTTAAATACAATGTTAAGTTATTGTTAAAATTAAACATTTATTGCATGTAGTTAATAACCATAAAATATTATTTAACATCAGAAATACTTATTTACTTACTATCACTTTATTTATAATTGTTCTCCTGCCACTGCTCGTGGTAATTTCAAATACATATTCATAAAATTATGACAACCTGTAGGAGTAATAGCTGCAATGGAATGATTAATAACATATTCTAAATGTTCATGGTTTGATGAATCAGACAAAATATTTCTTGCGCAGAACTTAATTTTTAAAAAAAACTTCTTCAGTGGAGTTCATCATTGGAGAGTATGATGGTAGAAATAATAAAGTGTGTCTTGTCTGACCAACAGGATCACGTACTTCCTGGGTTTTGTGGAGGCTTACATTGTCCAAAATAAACCACGCTTCCTCCAGATTATCTTCATCCAATTTCTGCAATAATCATTGAGAAATTCGCAAAAAATATTTAAAGTAGCCATAGAATGTGCAATTAAGTCATGCCATACCATTCCCTGAATAGTTATTGCTGCAATTAGACATTTATTTCATCTTCTAACCATTGGTTGGCATGGTCACACAAGCTGCTGTATCAACTTTTTCTTTTTTTTTTTCCTCGTCTTTGGTCTCACTTTTTTAAAAATTATTTGTATTATTAGTTTCAGGTGTACAAAACAATGCAATAGTTATCCTTTTCACCCCTCACAAAGTGACAACCCTCTCCCCCCATTCACTGTCCCCCCACCCCCGATATCGTACATATCTATTACCATTCCATTGACTCCATTCCCACACTATACTCCACATCCCATGACTATATATGTATTAAATTATAGTTGACATATAATGTTATTCAATGTCCATGAAGTGGTCTCCCTAACAAGACATGAGACCATCTGGCCCCCTAAAAAATATTTACAACATTATTGATTATATTCCCCAAACTGTCTTTTCTATCCCTGAGGCCATATTGTAGTTACCAATTTATGTTGTCTCGTCCCTTCCCCTACTCCCTCATCCCCACCCCCGCCCCATCTAGCAATCTTCAGTTTTTCCTCTGTGTCTCCGAGACTATTTGTTTACATTAATGGTGTATTAACTTTTGATTCTGCCTTCCTTCGTTCGCTGAAGATGACAATTAAATCTCAATTCATCAATGAATATTTTTTGTCTTGCTTCAGGGGCGTTTTGAGAAAAATTCAATTCATATACTTTGCGCATCTCCATTGTTCTCTCTGAGTTTCGAGGATCAGCTTGTAGTGATGCACACTTGAATGTGATCCGTAATTGTTTCAGTGCATTCCTAAAGGAACTTATGCTTCATTCCACATGTTTGGATTCGAGGATCTTGTCACAAATTCCCTTTAAAGTTATGCACGATTTTCCTCAATTATTGGGTCAATTTTGTTTAATAACGATGCATTTAATTTATATTCCTCTTACCACCGCGGGTTTTTTTTTTATCAGCACATCACCATTTTTGTTATACTGATTAATAATGGACTTTGCCATATTTTTATTAATTCCAGAGATTTCAGCTGATTCATTCACCATTCTACCATCTTCATAACATTTTATTAAAAGGTGTGTTTTTTTATCATGACTATACGATTGTATATAGGTGGATTATTATATCGAACAACGGGGCTTCTTAATCGGGCGCTCCATGATTCCGACAATGTGATTTGCATTTGCTGGTGCAAATATGTTGGCAGTGGACTTCCGGAGCTTGATTCAGTGGTGATGTTGTTGTATCCATTTTCAGGGTCTGAAAAAAATATTCTGGATTTATATAAAAACATCTTAATGGAATCAAAATATGTAACATGCTTACTAACATTATCACAAAGTTAAGAATCAGACTAAAATGAAAATATGTTGACGCGATGCAATATCTTTGTGTATGGTATGTGACAAAGTATGTAAAATCAGAATAATTCTGTTTTCCTAAATGGATACTCTCTAGACTGGCCTCATTTATGTACATATGTATATCGACATTTAACTTACCTTGAATTTGTAAATTTACAGGAAATTTACAGCAATCTGTTTACAATGTATTGATCAAATTAATGTATGTATATGTATCTATTGGTCACCTATGAGTGCTAGTCAGTACAGCTCGCCTGATCGCATAAGTAACTACACATAAAATCATGAAAAAATGACATTACTGTGTTACCTGTATTGTCACCCCTAAGATGAATTTGATTTGCAAAAGGATCAATTTGATTTGCAAAAGGATTAATTTGATTTGCAAAAGGATGAATTTGGAGTGCAAAATCTGTACAAGATGTGCTAACCAACCTCTTAACCATGCAGCTAGGTAGTGGGAAAGCAGAACTCGGAAACTCCAATCTCTCCTCCTGGGCACACAGTGCTCCCTCCATTTCCTACCTTGTGCCATGGCCAGTTGGCACCAAAGTTGGTTGCCTGTGCATTCCCTCCCTTGCAGTTGTCTCCTGCCCTGCACCTGTTGACCTTAACCCTTCCATGACATGCCCTTTTCTGATGATTGCCCTACTGTGATTGCTGGAATCCTTTGGTCCAATCACCAAAATATAT